AAAAAAAAAAAATCTAACACTTATGGATCAAATTCTCAACTTCTCAACCTATCTGTATTTGGTGTGTTTTATCTGTAAACTTAAATTAATAAACTAATTAAAATAACAAATTTATTTATATAATGTAATTATTTTAATTTGAAAGATAAAAGAATAAAAAGTATTAGTTTGAAAGTAGAAAAGAATAAAAAAGTATTTTGCTTTTAGGGTTTTAATTATTTAGAAAATACCTAACAAATTGGAGTTGACTATGAGTCTTCCTATTTAATTCTTATTTATTGAGGAGTCTGATAGGCCCCACAAAAGTAGTCAACAATGACAACAAAGTTCGTAGGTTTTTTTTGTTTTGTTTAATGTTTATTTATTATTTATCCCAATATTTAATCTTATCAACTTTTTCTCGTTGTTAGTAAGAAATTACTGAAAAGAAACTGATTTGAAATCATTAAAAATTAATTTTTCTAAATAAGTATATATTCTTTCCAAATTTTTATTTCTTTTGCAAAATCGGGTAAATGAATATGCCAATATCTTTTTTTATCTCTATCTATCAATTCGATTGAGCCTATCGTTAACTCGTTGCTGGAATCGTTTTGGTGAGACGCTTCACCGTTGCTCTATTCAATGGCAAATTGAAAGACTCCAAATCCTCTATGCCAATCATATGCACGTCTTAATTAGAGATGTCCATTTTACTCATAGAAAAGGGTTTCCCGATAGGAAATCGGAGAGGAAGTGTAAAATTTTTTTCCTCGTTAGATAATGGAACCCGACGGGATTATATCTCTTGTCCCCATCCCGTTTACTATAAATATATTTTTATAACATTTTAAAAATAATATATATATATATATATAGATATAGATATAGATATAGATATAGATAGATAGATATAGATATAGATATAGATATAGATAGATAGATATATATAGATATAGATAGACAGAGAGACTAAAAAAATTGATAGAAAAAAAATAACAATAAAAATATTTCACGAGCCGCCAGAGACCATCAACCAAATGCTCTGATACCAAATGATAAGCGCCAACAAATGTTTGATTATTTTTTTATAGAACATTTATTTATGAAATATATTGATTTATTATTAAGGAATATATTTTTAAATAAAAAATAATAATAAACGATTAAAAAAATGTGGGCCGAAAATAAGAAACTAGAAAGCCCATCTAGTTGTAACGAAGCCCAATTCATAATTAAAATAAAAATATGAAACAATATAATAAATATTAGACTTGCTAACCACATCTTATATACCCATAACTAAACTGCATGTAATTTGTAGCATATAATAACATTGGAAATACCCCATTTTAGGCGTTTTACTGCAAAAATACACATAAAGATATCAAAGTCTCATCAATTTCATACTAAAAATATCATAAATCATTTCCATTTCCAGTAATTCCTTCTTAATCATATGAATAATCAAAATATCGATTCGTTTTTCATACGCAAATTCAAAATTTAGCTATGAGTTTAATGTCATAATCTCTCTTTTATTGGGTCAATAAGATTTCACAATATCTTAATTAATATCCCTTTTTCGAAATTTCAAATTATTTTACTAATTAAGCTAAAAAGGGTATGTTTTAATTGTATTTTTTTTATTTATAGAAATGGAATTTTATATGCCTTTAAATAGACATATAGGGTGTGATTTAATATTGTCCCAACCACACCCATTAAATATTTTCTTAGTGCCCAAAGAATAATTTTCCCAAACTTTTTTTTTATTTTATGCTTTTTGTATATACCCAAAATCGGGGAACAAAACATTATTTAAAAGGGTGTGAAAATATTTTACTAACAGACGCATTTTAAGACTTTGAAGAGAAGCCCGATACGGTGTTAAGTCTGGTTGTTCTACGGTCGTCTATTTACAACTAGCCAATTAAAAATTCTCAGATGTACTAATACTAGCAAGTGCATATTTGATGCAGTCATCGATTCTCCCGAGAGGTCACAATAACCGCGAGCAAACATATTAATGACGAGGAACACATTTTTGCTATTCTACTAATACTTGTACTTGCTCTACTATTCTGTCAAAGCCTGGCTGAGGAAGGATTACGGGGCGTAAAACAAAAAAAATATGCTGATTCGTGTTGAGTATACTATATTTAATTTATAACGGAACTCCCGACCTTAACCCATTAACGAAAAAGAAAAAATAAAAAGATAAGGCCATTCCATTTCGATAAAAGACCCACACCCAAGTTCCATAGCTTTGGGTCCGCTATCCCCATCATGATTTTCCTACCCCCAAAGGGAAAAGTCCTTCCCTTTTTGGCCGGTTGTGGGCGAGGAGGGATTCGAACCCCCAACACCGTAGTTCGTAGTGGAAAAGCTAAAAGAGAACAATATTTACTAGTGGTAGGTTTGAGCTGTTACAAATGCTATCAGAGCCAGACATTGGGTCACGTGCCAGCAATGACGCTGGTCCAGGTGAATTATGAGAGAGAAATTACTCTAAAATTTGTTCATATTTTATGTGAATATGTTTCGAGATTAGTTAAATAACATTTGACATTTTAATTAGAACTAATATATATATATAATATTGCTTGTTAAACCAAATCTTTGCCATAATTACAAGGGGCCCCCTTCATTAGCTAATTATAAACTTAAGGTTTATTTTAATGGAGACAGATTCTTAAAAATAATAATACTATTAAATATTGGGGGAGGGGCCATGTGTTAATGGAAGCTAGCTTAGAATAAGCCTAAGAGCAAAATTGTTTAATTTGCAGAGATGGGTCTGAGTTGGAAGCAACCATAATTAACCAAAACCCTAAGGACAAAACAGCAAAATTTTCTCCAATACTCAAATAATTAATCAACCTCAATCCCAAAATAAAAATAATTACAAACTAAAATGGATTAATTAAACCACTAAAGCTTTCTCCCATAAAATAAAAAAAATTACAAAGCTTCCTTAAATGCATCCAAGATATGGCATAGTGGGTGGGAGTTTGAAAAGGAAAACATATTGTTTTAAAAACTTTATAGTAAAAATAAATTACAAGAAAACATTATGATCTCGGATTTTCATATGGTTTTGGTAAGAATATTGGCATATGTCAATGTCATATATATGTGATTGATTTTGACATGAGAGGTTGAACATATGTTCTAAGCAACCCCATGCATTTATATATATGTGTATATTGGTGAATTTTATTCCAAAGTTTTGTGCATTAGAAGATATCAAAAAAGCATATTATAAAAATTAAAAAAAAAAAAAAAAAAAAAAAAAACTTACCCATTAAGAAATAACACTCTTTTTTGTGTGTCTTAATTTTTGAAGCTCTAAATGGCTACCCATCTGCCTCTTTAATGTCCCCTTATGCTTGCTTGGTTTGTTATTTGTATGTGTGTAATGGATGAAGATTTGGGGTTTGGTGAATACCCATTTAATGAGTTGAAGATGATGATGAGAAGAGAAGGCGATGAGGAAGATGAATCAAACGGTTCATGTGGTTTCCATAGAGAAATATTGTTCCCTTCGATGAACACTAATTGTAGTAATGTGTTCTCCTCTCCCAATTCCGCGTCGTGCGATACCGTTCTCGATCCGCATCGCCATCACCATCTTAGCGTGATGGCGGAGCGGAAGCTGAGAAGAATGATATCGAATCGGGAGTCGGCAAGGAGGTCGAGGATGAGGAAGAAGAAGCAGATCGAGGAGTTGCAATACCAGGCAAGATCGTTTGTTTCTTTGTTTGATTGATTGATTGATATTTTTCGATATTGTTGCGAGAAATTTTCAGACTTTGTTCGGTCTCAGGTCGGGCAGTTGGAAGGTTCGAACCGTCAGCTGTCGGAGAAGCTGATTCAGCTGCTGGAATGCAACCAGCAGATCCTGCATGAGAATGCTGAGCTCAAACGCAAGGTTTCATCTCTTCAGATTATTCTTACTGATTTCTTGACGCCATTGAGAAGCTGTGATGAGCCTTTTGGGAGCTCCATTAATACTCGAAGACCTGAACCTGATATATAGACCACTTTATATCTATATATCTATATATATATATATATAATAATATATTTTGTAGATCTTTATCCTTCTTCATCTGCTTTTAATCTAATTTGATTTCTGTTGCTTTTCATTGGGTTTTAGGTTCTTTTTCTTTTTCTCTTTTTACTTTTTCTTAACCGTTCATAGTTTAATGTGATGTGGGCCATACTAAAAGGATGGATCAAACTAATTGGACTTCTTTTCGATTCATTTTATTTATGGGTTTGAGCTAATTGGCTTACGTACGTACGTCTCGTTGGTTTTATGAATAAACGTGAGTTATCTATCTCGATGTGATACTATGCCTCGTGACCCAGCATTCATTAGTTTTGAAGGAAGAATGAAGAGTATCCTGCCCCATGACCCATCTATGAAGGGTTGGTGTTGGCAAAAGGAGGTGAAGTTGAGAAAGTTGCGTGTAAGGTTTGAGTTTTGGTAGTGATGTACTTGACCTAGTAAGCTTAGGTTAGTCGAGTCCAAACTATGTGATTGGATGATTTTATCTCACGATATTGCAAGGCTGTCTATGGTAAAATCATTCATAATTTGGGTTTTGTTTCGTAAAAAAACCTGTATTATTCCTCTTAAACAATGTAACTAAAGAATTATGGTTTAAACAATATAACTAGTCCGCAAATTTAGAATATTAAGATTAATATTAATATGAAACCGCTTTAATTAATTTTATTTTAATTTAAAAATATATGTCTTTACTATGTCGATACTTTTAAATTTTTTTAAAAAGTTTAAAAAGTATTTTTTTGAAATTTATTTAATTTTTTATGGGAAGAATATTTTTTAAGGAAAATATTAACCCTTCATTTTGTAAGGGTTGGAAAGTATTTTTGAAACGGATAATATTATTAATTTTTTTGAAAATTGAGGAATATATTATTATTCTTTTTCGATAAGTTAAAGGTATTTTTTATTAATTTTTTTTTCTCGATCCTCGCAAAAATAATCATGATTTTTTTTTGAGAAATGGATAATAAAATATTGGAACCGTAGCCCTTTCTCCCATGTAATGTTCGTCGATGTTCCTCCTTGATCCCGTTTGAACTCTTTCGCCGGAGTTAATCGAGGCGGTCCGGCCACGCTGCCGCTCACCGACTATGGCGGACGATTCAACTGACCCCTTCGCCTCCCCAGAAGATCGCCTAAAGGCCTTAATTTCTTGTCCTTCCGCGAGTACCAAATCCGGGTTTGAAAACGAATCTGCAGAAGGTGAATTTCAAGAAAATCAGCCGCTGATAGACGATAATCCTTCTTCTATCTGTGTAATTTGTTTTTCGGATGATGGAAAAGCGGAGAGAGGTAAGCTTGACTCCTGTGACCACTATTTTTGCTTCGTCTGCATTATGGAGTGGGCGAGGATTGAATCTAGATGCCCTGCTTGCAAGGGCAGATTCACTGTTGTTCATAGAATTGCGAAGGATAGCTGTCGTCTACGTGAACGAATTGTTAATATTCCAATGCGGAATCAGGTTGGTAACTCTGTTGTTGACATTTTGCTGCTTTATTGTGCTCTATGATTGACATTGAGCTTTTCTAGGGCTTTAGGGATGCGTTTTTTGATTGGTTGAATATCGTGTGTTTAATTGTATGAATCTGGGAATTTTTCGTTTTAGAAGTGACGCCAATATGCTTGACTGCAAGGATCAGTTCGATTATAGTTTGAATAATGCATTGTAGAGCTCTCTGCAAGTATAATTCTTCCCTTTCTGTTGAAACTTGTGGCCATAGGAACAAATTTAACTATAATTACGTTTAATTGTATTGAACAATCTTGAAAATTTGAGGGCACTTGCTAGGATATGGTCCAAATAGATATAATTTTGCATAGTTATGATATCTACCACATCCATGACTCTTTCTTTTGTTATCTACTGGTTGGAGTAGCAATTGCAGAAGTTTTTGAATGATTAGAATTTTTTTATACTTTTATAGGGTCAAATTGCTTATGATATATTATTGTCTAGGTAATGAAACATAAATATGATAAGCATTTATACTAATACCTCCTCACCAGAAATATTGTCTAGGTAATGAAACATAAATATGCGTTTTTTGATTAGTTCAACTTGAGTGTAGAAATGCGCATTGTTTCACAAGCTTGTAACTTTCCTGGTTTCAGGATCACTCTGTTATTGAAAATACTACGAATAGGGATCCATATGCAGAAACATGTTGCACTGTGTGCAAGGGTATGGAAGATGAAGGTCTCATGTTACTCTGCGATCTCTGTGATTCAGCTGCTCATACTTATTGTGTCGGCCTCGGTGCTAATGTGCCTGAAGGCGATTGGTTTTGCCATGATTGTACTATCTCCAGGGCTCAACATGCCGATACTGAATTGAACACTGGTTACAATGATCAGAATCAAACAGAATCTGTTAGAGCCCACATCTCCATTTCCGATATAGTAAAAGAATCTAGTGCTCAAACAGTTGGCATACCTCGCAGAATAGCCCTTTTACATTCAAGTCACGAGCCACCTTCTATTGTCCCCAGTTGGAGAAGCAGAAGCAGCGTGGCCCATAAATCATTGCCTAGTCGTGGTGGTAGAGCTGCTGGAACAAGTGCAAGAACATTACATCGCTGTCGTAACATCCATAGCCATATAAGAGCATTACGTGAAAATTGGGGTGGCTTACGAAGGGGGTCACTGAGCTTTCCCGCTAGCAGCTCATCAACATATTGTGGCAACAGTTCCAAACGAGATATTGGTGCTGCAAACAACCAAACAGGTGAACCCCATTTTTCTACAGCCATTAACATGCAGGCGACATCTGGACTCGAGTGTAACGGAAGCTCTTATGATGTTGAGAAGGCATGGAGGATGATGGAAATTGCAAAGGCAAAGGCCATACGTGAGGGAGATCAAGCCTTGAAACATCCTGCTAGCAGACAAATGAACACAAAAATAAAAGATATTCATACAGCGAAAGGCCAACAGTTCAATATCCAGAAGCTGAAGGAACCAGCAAAGCATAAGAAGGAAATGGGAAAGCAAAGATTGCCCGAGTTGGATAAGAAACTGTGTTGTCCTGTAGCAAGTAAGAAGAGTAAAGCTTCTGATGAGTTTTTTCCTACCAGCTCATCTAGTTATGGAGAATCCTCCCTGGGTAATATGGTCCAAACTTCTCGAGTTGATTTCAACTATGAAAATAGAAGAAAGCTATCAAACAAAATCGTGGATGAACTTTCTTCATCCTCCACAATGACACAAGCCTCAGAGAAAGGCCATGCCTCTTGTGAGGCTGGCAACGATCACGATCCCAAAAGTGAGATACGAACACTGGTCAAGATCAACCTAAAACTCCTAAGCCGAGACAAAAATTTGGGTACGATGTCACGTTCTACGCTACCCCATTGCCATTAGTTTGAATGCAATTAAATGTAAAGCTCTTCCAGGTTTATCTTGTAACAGGATTATGTTGAGTGGAATATTAATTATCTGAGATTTATGCAGGATATGAAAGATACAAGGAAGTAGCAAGGCTTGCAACTCACACCATCATGGCAGCATGTGGTTTAGAACCCCCTCCAAAACCCAGCAAGCGATTCCTATCGTGCTTGGTTTGCAAGCACACAGAAGAAGAAGTCGGGCAGCTTCACAGGTCCACTCTGATGCCAGAATCTTGCAGGGAATGCTTCCTGGTGTATGTGAAGGATGTTGTTAATGCCCTGATGTTAGAAAAACTGGAGGTGGGTTCCTGATCGTAGGCTGTAAAGAAACCAAATTGTGTGTATCAGTAAGCAGAAGAGTTTTGGGAGTAATAAATAAATGGGTTAAGGTAGACAATATCGGCTAGAAGTGGACTTGAGCGGTTACAAATGGTATGAAAGTTAGACACCGAGCGATGTTTCTAGTAAGGACGTTGGGCTCTGAAGGAGGGTGAATTGTGAGGTCCCACCTTGTATAACCCATGAGAGGACAGAGGAGATGCAGAGAGTTGAAAAGAAAAGAAGTGGGGTCTAAGAAGAAGGAGGTGACGGTTTGAGGGGACCAAAATGGAAGGGAAATGTATGCGGTAGAGGGAAGTGAGCGTGGCGCTCCATTTTTGAGTTGAGCCGGTAATTCGTTGGAACATGTAGACGTGGGTCTAACTCTGATGTGAAACTGCCTCGTGCTTTGCTGTGGACTCTCTCTGTGATAGCACTCACAAAAGCGCATGCGACAACATAACATGACTTTCCACACGTGAGCTAACTGCCATATCACGTGCCTTTCAACTGAACGACACTACCGTGTTCAGTGCTGTCACCTCATCCTTTGTCACAGCCCTAAATACCCTATCACCTCTCCACACCTCACTCCCCCTTTTTTTTTCTTCTTTTTTTAATAACCATTACTTATTACCCCACCAAACCAAAAAAAGAAGCTTTTTATTTTTAATATTAATTTTGATTTTCTTCGTCATTTTTAAAATATTACTAAATTTATGATGGGAGAAAAAGTGTATTAGAAAAAAAAAAAAAAAAAGGAAGGGCAT